ATGAATACATCACCCACTTCCTGGTGCAGTACCGCAAGCTGCACAGCGCGCACTGGACCACGGGCGAGGGTGACTAATAAATACGTCACCGAATAATTTTATTAGTACTAACATACGATTGTCGTACTGAAGGGTCATAATTAATTTATCCCTACTAATATCGGATGAAAATATATTTCATATACAATAATACGTTACTTCATTTCCACCTATTTTTCAAATGGCTACCGTGCTTGAAAAAATTAAAATCATGTGAAGCTAAGAGCGCACTTCACCCGGTTTTGCGTTTTCTGGCGGTTTGAAGGCTTGCATTCTGTTCATGAAATACGGTCATCGTTGTGAGTCCGGTATAATAGTAGCATTTTAATATTTAAAAAAAATTTAAATCCTCTCCCTCAAATTTTTTATGCTAGTGATTGAATCATAATATTTTTCTTTAAAATTCATGAATGGCAATGGTTATATTCAATAATTATTAATTACCTCTACTTTGCAGTGAGCAGCGAGGTAATGGCAGCCAGAACGTTCGGAGTTGGAGGACTGCAGCCTGGCGAACGCTACGAGATCAGAGTTACTGCCTACAACTCTGCAGGAGCAACGCCAGCGCTCTACACCGTCACCACCGCTGCTCTGTACTCTGCAGGTGAGGCCTATAACTCTGCAGGGGTAACGTCAGCGCTCTACACCGTCACTTCCGCCATTGCCGGTGAAGCTGCAGGATAGGTCTGCAGCTCGGTGTTTGTCTGACAAGCTGAGAGATACTTATTGTAAAAATTTCAAATCTTGCTTGTTGTTTATGTTTGATTAAAAACGAAACTCAACTCGATCCATCCCACCTCAAGGCGAAAGATTGAGCCCATATTCAAGTGGTTCAGCATGTGTTATCTTTCTGCCAATCGTATGGATTTGTACGTTTTTATTTCTTCGGGTTTACGATGTCCAAGTCATAGCCCATAAGCAATGTCCATTTTAACTGTATTTTATAAATCGTTGCTTACAGTGTTTATTGCACTAAACCAATATTTACAGGCGAGCAGCAAATGCTGGGCCGCGGGGACGGCTTCTGGACGCCGCCTCAAGACAAGTCCCGCGCCGTGTCGTCCAGCGATGCGCGCTGGAGCAATCCTCGGCTGATCGTGCCGCTGATTTTGTCAGCGAGCACCTTATTGCTGACCTCCTTCTCGCTCTGCTACTTCTTCCATAGAAGTAGGATTGCTATCATGTTTGTCAGCAAGCACCTTATTGCTGACCTCCTTCTGGCTCTGCTACTTCTTCCATAGAAGTAGGATTGCTATCATGTTTGTCAGCAAGCACCTTATTGCTGACCTCCTTCTCGCTCTGCTACTTCTTCCACAAAAGTAGGATTGCTATTATTTTCTCAGCTTGCACTTTATTGCTGACCTCCGTCTCGCTCTGCTACTTCTTACTCAGAAGTAGGATTGCTATCATTTTTGTCAGCTTGCATTTTCATTTTATTGCTGACCTCCGTCTCGCTCTGCAACTTCTTCCACAGAAGTAGGATTGCTATCATTTTTGACAGCTTGCACCTTATTGCTGACCTCCTTCTCGCTCTGCTACCTCTTCCACAGAAGTAGGATTGCTCTCATTTTCATCAGCAAGCACCTTATTGGTTATTGCTGACCTCCTTCTCGCTCTGCTACTTTTTCCACAGAAGTAGGATTGCTATCATTTTTGTCAGCTTGCTCCTTATTGCTGACCTTCTCGCGCTGTTACTTCTTCCACAGAAGTAGGATTGCTATCATTTTTGACAGCTTGCTCCTTATTGCTGACCTCCTTGCTCTGCTACTTCTTCCACAGAAGTAGATTGCTATCATTTTTGACAGCTTGCTCCTTATTGCTGACCTCCTTGCTCTGCTACTTCTTCCACAGAAGTAGATTGCTATCATGTTTATCAGCAAGCACCTTATTGCTGACCTTCTCGCTCTGCTACTTCTTCCACTAAAGTATGATAGATCATAGCTATCATTTTTTTTACCATGTATTAATTGAGTATTTCTTTACGTATTTATTTGAGATGCAGATTTTAAACCTATTCTCTTCTATCTCTTAGACATGTGCCAAATTAATGATTTTGCATATCTTTACGTTAATTTTTGTTACATTTTATATGTGTCACCAAACTAAGGAGATTATAGCCTATATCACGTTAACTCCAAAGATTCTTACGCTCTCACAGAATTTCAGGGATAAACAATCGCCGCATGTAATACCAAAACTCGGTGTCATCTTTGTCCTTGAAAGTATAGCAACATTCTACTTTCATTTTATCTGTTTTTCATTTTATTTCAAAATTTAATTGTGGTAGAGCAGCACCATTTTCCTTCTAAGAAAGTTTACCCTCAAAATCTTGGCTTTCTTTCTTCTAAAAATGAGATCGAAGAAAATTGTGTTTTTCCTTGACTGAACTAGAAAATAAGTCCTGGAATCTTTAATTCCAAAATTATCTCGACTAAATAATTCAAAAAAGTTGCCATCTTATTTGCATAATTTTATCCTTCTTCGTCCAGGACGTTCGTTCAATGGCCACGCAGACCACACTAGCAGCGACAAGAATTGTAACCCTGGCGACCAGTTCACTCAACGTCCCCATGAGGAGCAAAAAAGTATTGCGCTTACCTTACGTGAATTAATCTGATAACTTCTTATTACGGTTACTGGCAGTATTTTACCTAAGCCTTCATTCATTAAAGGCATGGTTGATATTTTCGATTGACTGCTTTTTTAAATAAAATATATCAGAAAAATCGTTATTTAGATTCATCCTGATTCTGTTTTACCAAATTTGTTTTTGCCATTTTATTTGTGACAAATTAGTGCATCTAAAAAATCTAATTTTTCACAGTTAATCCCCTGACCGAGAACGTGTACCACTACGTCACGACCGGTTACCCGTTCGCTCAGAACGATACTGATGGGCATGAAGTAATAGATCGTGGACGAATCTCTCCTTCACAGAGGCACAACTCTGCAGCCTACCAATCAGCAGAGCACGAGAGTATTGCTCTGAAATCAGCTGAATACCAAGCTCCAGAGCATGGGAATACTGCACTGAACTGTGCTGAATACAAATATACAGAGCACGTAAATACTGCACTGAACTCTGAACGATACCAGTCTGTAGAGCAGTCAGGTATTGCTATGACACAGCGTCCTGCATCTGAGGAAAACAGAACGTTTTCGTCCATACACTTTCATTCTCCGTCACTGCATGAAGTCGACAATGCCTCTTTGGTACGTGAGAATTTTAGCCATACCATAACCATAATTTTAACCATACTCTGGTACTGAGAATTAACCATACCTTAGTTGAATCAAAGTCGCCTGCACAAAAAAAAAATTTGCTTCATGTAATGCATACCATTTTTATATTAATTTAATAATTCGCTTTGTGTTTATCCATTCAGATTTTAAGTGCACATCTGCAAGGCCAAAAAGAGTCAAAATTATCAAAAAAACATTTAAATCCTTCAAAATAAATTTTTCTCTGCAACGTATAATTTTTGTAAATAAAATATCTCAAGCAGTGAACTTTTCGATTGGGAGAATGAAATTTGATTTAATGAATTAACCAAATTTAAATTTTAGATTCATTTTTGAAATACAAAATCAGACCAGACCTTCCAAATAAAAAAAATCAGATCAGACCTTCCAAATAAAAAAAAATCAGATCAGACCTTCCATGCCTACATATAGAGTAACATCATTTGTTAAATAGGCTGAACATTAGCTCAATGTTTATACCTAGTTTTGCATTCGAGCTTTAAAATAAGATATGCACAATTTTCTACTAAGTCATTCCTTGGATTTCAGACGAGCGCCTACACCGAGTTGGGCACTATACCCGCTGAAGACACAAAGTTCGTCTCTGTATCAGACAGAAAACTCAGGCAGCCGGGACCTGGCATTCATCAGCATCAGCGGACGCAACAAAACCTGGCCCAGGTGTGCCATAAGCCACTAACGGTGCTGCAAAAACCTGGCAACGTCACATCCCGGCCTCGACAAAAACATCAGAGGTTCAAACACGAAGAAAGGGAAGATGTTAGTCCCTATCCTCTTGATCGAAGTATGTCATCGTTTCATTAGACATATTAGCTTTTTATTATAATTATTTGATTTATTTCTTCTATTTCGTTATAGGAAAAATTGGTGAAAGTATTTCTAATGTTCATTTATACTAGTTTCCTAATATATACTTTGAGACTTCATAATAATATTTTTTACCTATTTTATAAGATCCACATTGTATGTAACCAACTTATCTTCCAAAATCTCTAGGCAAAAATCTCATCACCAGTGCAATCTAATTTTACTTTTGACTTACAGTTTCCAGCATTCGAAACTGTATTTCTACCCCCCAGTTATTCGGAAACAATCATTATTTTGAAGTCAATGAAAGTTATTAATCTGAGGAGAGACCATTCAAACAGTTTAGCTGCGTGTTTCTACATTACATTACCAAAGCCATACCTTAACCTTCTTCAGTGCTATTCGTACTTAAATGGCTGATAATATGAGTTAGCGTCAATAGACAAAGATTTAATTTGCATGAATGTTTCATTACAAATTTTCTTTTAAAGTCTTATATCTCCATTAAGAATATTTATATTTATTTGTCGCTACTCAGCAGTTCGACATTCTTCGCTTCGTGTATTCGATGATAATGTCTATGTTTCCGAAGCATCAAAAAATTTCTATCCAACTAAACTCCCCGTAGCTGGAATAGCAATACGAGGCTTATATTTTACTACAGAAACTCATACAAGGTGCAATACAAACTATAAAATTTATATTTAATCAAATAATATTTTTGTTGATACCTTGATTAAGAATTGTTACTGATGCTTCGCTCGACCATTCTGAAATTAATGATTCACAGACATGGTTTTCTTGACGTACAATTAGTTAGTAGGCTTGTTGCTGAATTCAAATCGATTATATAAATTGATTACTTACAAATTTTTATTATTTCAAGCGAAATTTGATCGTAAATTTTTACATGGCTATAATGAATGTACGTTCACTTAAAATGGCAGAGTCTGTGCATTGATGTTACTCTCCCTCCAGCTGTTATGACCTCAGTAAGATGAAAAATCCTAAATGAAATCAACCCGTTTCATAAATAGTAGTATGTGGAACAAATACACTAATAATAGAGAGGTTTCGCCGTATGGAAGGAAAAATTCATGACTTAACATCGCATTTGAAAATTCCGTTCCTACCGCTGATGCCATCTGTAAATGTAACGATGTTTGCGAGTTTTCGGTCCGGTGCAAGATTTAACTGGAATTTGTCATAAAAATATAACGCGATAAAATATTCTACGTACTTTTTTACCTTCTACCGTGTTTTTAAATATTGTATTCATAAGATTTTGGAATTAAAACAGTTTATACTCCGATTATACTCCAGTCGTGATTATTCATGTGGTTTGAACTGGACCAGACACCCACGATCTCAATGAACTCTGTATCTCTCACAATCAGGAATAATTTCTACAAATTTTTATCGTTCAACCAGTTTGAATTAGATTATGGATAAGAGTTGATTTGAGTTAATTTGTCCTTATAAGGAAGAAATGAAGCTAATAATTCGAAAACTTTCCAGAAACTTCTTTCATACGGAACATTTCGTGTTGAACCAGTAGCCTACATGTTGAATATCTTAAGCTCTAATATCTGTTGAGCATAATCAATTTAAAGACAATACAATGGCTGTGCAATCAAATCGAGAATAAACCAAGAAGACTGTTGAAAACTCTGAATACAATTTCCGATGCTAGTGCGTCTCAAATTGCATCAGCGTGAATAAAAATAATATTAATTTATTAGATGATTAATTGAAGAAATTCATCTTCACGAGACATTAAAGCATTTCAATATTTTCAGTCCTTTGAAATAAGAAAATAAGTAAATAATACACGGTTGGAAAATTTAAAATTCCAATAAATGCTCAACTGTACAGAGTTCGTTGAGATTGGAACTCATATGTAACACAGAATATACAAATTGCTGTAATGAACCATAGTACATGTACACGATCAGCTGTGTTGCTGGAAGAAGGAATTTAAAATGCAACTAAAAATAGATTACAAAAACAATTCAAATAAAATGGAAAAAAATCTCAACAATATAAATGCTTGCTTGTTGAATGTAAAAAAATGTGCAATAAAATTATACTCCTTTAACTTTTTTCAATCAAGTGTTACCTAACAATTACCAAGCATTCAATTCAAATAATGCAAAAACACCACTCACTACATATTAGAGTGTTGACACGATTTTACATTAAACTTTCACCGTCTAATTCGGATGGCTTTTCACAGAAATTGCAAGCTTGAAAAAGCAGAACCGATATTAGGGAAAAAGTTTTCCTGGGATGATTTTTTTTTTCAATTTTGCGACAATATGACAACAAATGCGTTTCAAAATTCTTCGAAATTTAAGACTTTCGTTGCCACTTTGTTTCCCATTGTTTTTTCAATGGGAAACTCCTAATAAGAACTCAATTCCAACTCCTAATAAGCTTTCCCAAACATGAAACTCCCAAAAAGTTGACAATATTTGGGTGCTATAGACCTAATCCCATGTCCCATTCAATGCCTTTCAAAGAAATTAAATAAAAAAATCAATTCGATAACTGACACCCGGTGATTAAGTTTCGAATCATAAAACATTCTCATAGCAACTTCTCCATCGCATCAGTCAAACTTCATATGCCAAAAACTGTATGTATATGACGGAGCCTAATTCCAGAAATGACCGGATTAAATGACGCAATTTTCGTCACAAAATTACTTTAACGAAGTTAAGTATTGAGGAAGTGATTTTTGAATATGATATATCATCTTGAAATTCTTCCATTTTTAAAAATCCTTATGCAAACATAAAGAAATTACTGATGCGCGAAATGAATTCAGTCTGCACGCTGACAGCTAACTTACAAATCATTTAATAAAAAATTATCTGATTGCCTGCATGTTATGCCATGATCCAATCTGCATAATCATAGGCATATTCTCATCCATATCCATACGCGTGATTTACAGATAAGTGTTAACCTTGTGTTTCCTGACTCTTACGTATTCTTATTCATTGAGTTTCGATAGGTTACATAAGTTTCCATCTTCATTTTCTTTTATATCATTCTCACCTCCATCTTTTTAAAGTTGAATTTCCGCTCACACCAACACCAATAATGCACGACACAGCCGAGCATAACGCTCCCTGCTCATTAGAAATGATGGTGAATTGAGTGGCTTCTGAACAATACATTGCCTCTCGACCAGCAAATTACGTTATTGAGTGGTACGTCCATGTCACTTCAGCTCCGTAATGAGGTCTTGCATTGGTCATGTCGCTTCAATCACACGAGGGGACGCTGATTGCAACTTTTGTTTGGCTCTCACTCTCTGTGATCACAAAAGTTCCAGGAAAATGTTACCCTGATCAAATCTCACGAGGAATGCGTTTTTTAAGAAAATTTGATGAGCGAAAAAACTTAGAAAATGTTCGTGAAAAGGGCTAATGGTGATTTGATTTTTAAGGATTTATTCTTCTCGCGATAATATACAGAGTCATTCTTAACGCAATACGATTCGTGGAAACAGACAAATATATAGTTTCTTTCTAGTTTCCAAAAATAAAGCTAATACAAAAAAGAAATGAATCGATAGGAAGTAAATAAATTTAAAGAAGATGTAAAAATTAATAAATTACCGGAAGTACATCTCCTTAAAGATAATAATAGAAGATAAATTCAAATTTAGAGATATTAAGAACATTTTTGCAATGTAACTTGATCAACTGCTTATTAATATATAAAAAACAGCATGAACAGTTAATGGAAAAAATTTTTTAAATGTAAAAATATGCCAATAAATTCTATCCACAGTCAGTTAGTGAGTGATGCGCGTGGTGAGTGAAATGTTTAATCGGGTGGTACATATCATTTATTGGCTTCATTGTGCATGCATCAGCAATTATTATTAATATCTATTATTACCACGTAATTACTACAATTGAAAGAAAACCCGAGTCAGAGAGCGATCGAACACTATAATCGGAGTTTAAAGTAAATGTCAATTATTGTTTCGAATCAATCCGAGAACAAAATTATCAACCAATTTAATTGGTCACAGCAGGGGGCATTCAGCAGGATTGAGACAACATTTTTTATCCTGTGCATGTGAGCTTCTTGAAGAGGAAAAGAGTAGAACTGGTTTTCATTTTACAATGCATGAGACAGTTCAACAAATGAACCAAATTATCATCAGGACATGAACTGGGCAATTGAGCCAAATTATCTTCAGGATATCTACTGGAAAATTTAACCAAATTATCTTTCTGACACCAACTGGACAATTGAAAAAATTTATCTTCCTGACATCAACTGGACAATGAAACAAATTATCTTCCTTACATCAGCTGAGCAATTATTATCAAGATATCCGATGCAGGAGCACAAAATAAAAAAGTTTAACTAACGAGTTCTAATTCACAAATATCAAATAGACGAAGCAGGAATGTGAGCGAATGAGTTAGGTTGTGTTTCTTTCCTTATTGATTGATAAAAGTCACTCTTATATAGATCGAACTAAATTTCCTAGACCAAAATCATTTCCAACAAAACGATTTTAGCCGTACACGTAACCAGCTGTTCAAATGTTCAAGATTCCTCTGACCAGATTCAAGATTCCTCTGACCTCTCTGGTCTGGATTCCTCTTGACCAGACAAGTCCATCAAATCGATCGCTCAACAATAATTCTCGCCTGGAATGCGAGGCGCACACTCAACGCGAAGTCAAGGCTGAGGAATGACTTGTATTTCGGCGTAGCCATGGTAATCAGCTTGCACCTGGTAGAAGGTGATGTACCGTCCCGCCACGCTGGTGTTGGTGACGATGGTGTACGTCGACCACGCCGTCAGGGCATCGTCAACTCGCCCTATTTTCTTTCCGAGGTTAAAGTCACTCGTGTTGCTGAGGATCACGTCCATGTCAACAAAGTGGCGTTCTTTAGCCGTGGCAACAATCACCGCCTGTACTCGAGTGGTCTGTTGCAAGTCTATCCTCGAGAAGCTGTTTGATTGACAATAGGTAACGAAGTATGCGGGGTCTGCACAGGCGTATCCATCGGTAGCAGACGCCGAGTAGTATCCCGTCACCAGAGAAGAGTAAGTGAGAGGGGAATTTGTCCTGACGATGTCCCGGGGGTCCCATCACGACGTGTAGCAAGCGTCGTACGTTGTGGTGGACGCAGACACAGGATGGCCCGACCATCGCACGGCGACGTAGGCTTTGAACAGCGAGCACGTGCCTGTACCTGGAACCGACGTGATCTTTTTTTTTTTCAGTAAATAAATTGATACCATACCATAATAAATAAATTGTTACCATATTGGCCGACTATTCTGCCATTTCATGGCAGGGGTACTCAACTTACGGTCAGTGGGCCACACACTATTACTGCTATTGATTGTTTACTAATGATATATTTTAAGATCGTATATTCCATATAATACCAATACATTTTTTAAAAGCTGACATCTCTAGTATATAAAATATATTTTCTTTTTAAAATTAACCGGCATGAATGTCTTGTTTTTACTTGCGTTCGCTAAGCAATTTGTTCGATATTTGGTAACTGGTAGAGTGAGGTAACTGGTAGAGTGAGGTAACTGGTAAAGTGAGGTTACTGGTAGAGTGAGGTAGAGGCAGGTATCTATTTCCTGAGTGCGGTTATGTCTGTTGTAGCCTATACTCGGATTTAGCCGATTCCTGATCGAAAGTCCATATCTCCAGGAATTTGTGGCATTCCTCTGGCATTGTTCTTTCTTAGAATTTTTTCATTCCGTCTGTTGCATATTTGACTTTATCACTATCAGTAACTCTATACTACTATTCACCTCTAATTTTTGATCCTCTCTTCGCCCTATCATCGTTCTCGAAAGATAGGCACCAATCACTTTACACTACCTTGCTTCTGTACCTTGGTTCTCCTCCGTCACCCGCTTCATAATACTCTAGGACCTAGTGTTTACTATTGAAGAAGAATGGTAGAATACTATTGAATGGTAGAAGAGCTTCGCCACGAGGCTCCGTTGGGCAAAAGTCACCACCAGTCATTGTTTTTCAGTATTAAGTGCTATACAGAAAAGACGCCTCGGAAGCGTGAAAGTTTCAACTTTGCGAAAGGCGACTGTGTTAAACTTCGTGAGTCAGTGAGTGCAGTGAACATTTCGGACTGTATTATGAACATGAATGTCGCGGAGTCTTGGTCATTCTTCATGAACATAGTTATGTCTGCAGTTGATGCGTGTGTACCCAAGATAGAGCTCGGTGGAGTCAAAAAAAAACACAGTGGATGAACAATACGGTTAAAGCAAATCTAAAGGCAAAGAAGGAAGCCTACAAGCGTTATTTACGAACTCGTAGTGATGCTGAGTATAACCTGTATGCAAGAGCTCGAAATCAAGCTAAA